TACATTGTTTATTTTGTTTATTTCAGAATAATAAAAAGAATTTATTCTTCTCTCACGTGAGAGTTTCTTGTTTAGTTTTCAAAAAACCCCCCAAAAAAAAAAAAAAAAAAACAAAAAAACAAAAAAAAAAAAAAAACAAACCCCAAATAAAAACAATAATAAACTCACATAAAACAGAAAAAGAGTGTGTAGAAACAATGATTGCCTCAATGATTAATTTAAAACTTAATAACCCATTTGTCATCAGAAAAGTCGACAGAAGGGTGTAGCTGGAAGATAACTTGAAATCACAATATAAAACATGAAATATATAAAAGGTAAGGTGAAATAAGTAACTTTTAATGAAAGTGTTAAAACTCAATAAACTATGGTTATCCTTTTAGATAGTTAAATATCAAAAATGATTTGCCAAAAACGAAATGCAAAGATTACTCTCCTTTGTGGAAACAAAAAATGCTCCTGTAAGAGACTAAATAAGAAACGAAGTCAAATTGATCCATTTCTTGGAAAATAAATTCTCTCTCTGATTATAAAGGTGGTACATGTAAATTCCATGCGCCCATGTGGCACGCATTCAGTAGATATCGGAAAATCACAACCAATGGCTAGATGCTGTTGAATATTAGGTGACAAGGAAACTGAAGAATAAAGTTCCAAAAGCAGAATAAGATTATAAATAACCAAAGGGTGATGAATGGTGAACAGACCATTGAAATAACAGTCTTGGTGTTGTTGCAAAAATCTTCATGATATTTGGAAATTTTACCAAACTGAAAAAACGTGACAGCCACTAAAATATGAGCAAAACTGAGATTCCTCACTGAGGTGACTTACCAACATTCTTGAGAAGGCTAACACCAACATTATGTGCATGCACCGATCCGGCCATAGTGACACATGGAACTCCCATATACAGTGATTCACATGTAGTAGTAGTTCCCGCATACGGAAATGTATCCAAGCTACAAAGGAACGATCATTTTCAGGAGGAAAAAGAAGCAACTACAGAATGAAATAACATGTAGGAGAAATCATGTAGAAAAAGAAAACTGAGAACAGTGCCTAACAATCACAATGCACTGTCCCAGTAATACCATGGAACCTGTACTGAGTTTTATAATATCATGATGAAAAATTTACCCAAAGTGTAAAAGAGAACTAAACAGCAATGGAGAACATTTTACTAACATGATCATGTCTCTATTCACTTTATAATAATTATAACCATAATAATCTCTGTGCATCATCGCTTGCAGTGTTGTAGGGAAGAAAATTATGATTCAAGATGTACAACATGTGATATAAATATTTTCATGATAACATAAAAAGATCATGAATATTAAAAATATGGGTAAATAACTAAATATAGTTAAAAACTTGAAGCAACTCATGGTATGTCACAAAGAAAAGTTTCACAATATAGAGAGGGAAGATCAAGAGCCTGCATATATATCTTAAAGATACGATAGGTTTGCATGACAAATGATGGCGCTGAAGAAATATACAGAAAGAAAGGACATTTTGCTCCTTATTACAGAACCTTGGATCTCACTTTTATCAGGCCCTACGCTGCTTCCACTATATCATATGGTGTAGGAGGTTAAAAAATCACATCAGCTTTCCAAAATAAAGGTAAAATGTTCCACGAGTAGATTTCAGATGACCACTTCATGTGGTAAACAAGCATCAGTATGAAATAGACAACTAAAAAACATAACCAACTTACTAGACTAAATCCTCTAAAACCCACAACGCCAGACCAAAAGAAGGAACTGTCTGATATCCTGAAGATGACCAAAATAATACATCTATCGAAAGAGGCATTGATAAACAATGACCATCTTGATATGGAAAAAAAGTCAGTATCAAATAGACAAAACTTTAAAAACTAACCAATTTACTAGTTTGGATCCTATAAAACCCATAAAATGCCAGACCAACAGAACTCTTTATTATACTGAAGAAGACCAAAATAATAAATATATCGGAAAAGACATCGATATATAGTAAAAGTTCCATAGATGTTAAAAGGTACAACACAAATACTAAAAGAATGACAAATAGTTAAAGCATGAAGAACACGAGACAGTTGATGGGGACAAAAAAAAAAGATTCAGCTATCTACCTGATATCCATTAGTGAATATGCTTGCATATGGTCATGGTTGAGAAGAATTAGAGGCAGAAGATCAACACGTAGCGGCTCCAGTCCTAATTGCTCCAAAATTGAAAGAAATCTCTGTCTTACACTATCAGAACAGAAAGGCTTACACTTGACAACAAGCCGGGAGTTAGGAACAGCACATAATATCCTTGCCCAAACTTTTAATACTTTTGGCGTTATCTGCCAGAAAAAAAAAGATGAACAACGCAAAGCTGTAATTCAGTTTAGCTAAACATTTTTAAAAGAGACATTCAATAATAACACTACCTTTGCCAAATTATTGAAGCTCCCAAAAGTAATAAAACCATTAGAAAGAGCTGGTGTGGGACAAACAGGACCAGCATCCGGCGAAGGCGTATAACAGAGAAAACATTTAGGCAAACGAACCAACTCCTCAACATGCCTGCAGCCACAATTAGTCAGAATATCTCTATCTATACAATTTAAAATCAAATCTCAAAAGTTCAACTCACTTCTGCTTTGTGTCAAGGGGATCAGCCAGTGCATCTGTGATTCTATAATCAATTGTTGGCAGACCGGTTGTATTTGGGTAACCAATCCATGTTGCCTAAGAAAGCATAGTGGGAGAAAAAGTAACTATGAGAGGCAAAATTCATAAAGAAAATTATCATTGTTAAAAGTAGTTATTGGAAATAATTACATGCGGATCTTCAGTCTTAGTTCATTTTAACATGAGGAAATAAGCTAAGAAGCACAAGTTGGCATGCAGACATGGAAGCAACATGATAGACATGAAGATAAAAATGATAAAAGGTACAAAAGGAATGGCAAGTACGCAACAAAAAGTGTCATCTCCAATATATGACTGACATTAATATAGCTTCACAGTAGAAATATCCATGAAAATAAAAGGATGCTCTTTAATAGAAGAACAACCTATATCCTGTTGTATCTCAGCAAAATTTGGCAGTTTACTGCCACTTTCTAGTTGAGTTTACTCGCAGACAGTGTTTAGGCCACAAGACTGGAGGTTTCAAGGGGTATGAGTGTAAATAAGAACTGTGGAGGTGAAGGTCATTAAGGAGCATGTTTTACATGGATGTATGTAAAAAACAAAGCGACTCAAGCAATTCCAGGAAACATGATAAATGACAAGGATGCTAAATTTATAAATTTTAAAAATATCAAGAGGAACAAAAACGCAGAGAAGGTGATACAGATGTGAATTTAAATAAGGGCAGTACCTGGATGGGAGCAGGCCTGCAGGCCATCATCCCTAGCTTGTTATTTGCAGTGTGACCAGTAAGCTCCACCAGTATGTCAACTTTATCCTCCCTAACCATGCTAGCAACCTTCTTCTCATCAATCCCATATATATCCCTCCATAGCCCTCCTTTTTTCAGCACCCTGTCCTTGAATTTATGGGTTTTGGCATCTGCCTACAATATCACAGTAAAACACAAGGACACTAACTATGTTTAAGCGTAAAGGACAGAGACTTTATAATTTACTGAAAATGATTGAAAGAAAAAAAAAAGTAGAAGTAGAAAAATTGATTGGTTTACATATCATACAGCCCCCATAAACTTGACTTAAAGACGTGTTGTAAATTACTTGAAAAAAGACTTCAAGATACTTGAAAAAAGACTTCAAGTTAACTAAGTGGTGACACTTGTGCATGAGAGAAATAACCATACCTTTACAACACCAGAGTACACAATCACCTTGTAATTTGTGTAATCATGGAAAAAGAGAGGTGCTTCAATGAAATATGATACAGAGTGAGTAATATAATCAGGTGACACATATCCAATTACTAATGGGCGTTCCATATCTTTAGGATTATCCCAACTGGTATATTGAGGGTATAGCTTCATAAATCGCATTCCCCATTCCCTGAGGAACAATTAAACATCAGTCAGTCAAACTACTATGAATTTGTACCACTAACTGAAGTAGTTTTATGTGCTCATTCCCTGTTGAAATTAAAAGTACAGAACTGAACTTGTAAACAACTAAATACTGAAGTTGCAGAATTACCAATAAAAATGATTAACAGGTGTGGTATACAAAACTCATAATCATTTTCATGATTAACAGGCATGCTATAAAAATGAAGTAGTTTTATATGTTCACTCCGTGTTGAAGTCAAAATGACAGCACTGAACTTGTAAACAACTAAACAAGTAATAATGAAGTTGCAGAATTATCAAAATAAATTATTAACAGGCTGCTATATAACACTCGTGTCTATTGCATGCAGATTTCATTCGGATGGTACTTCAATAAGAAAATTTTAGCAAGAAATCAGATATTCCATCTAAAAAGACATGGTTCTACATTTGTTTCCAACAAAGATAATTTGATCAAAAGTACCATATATGCATCTTTCAATACAGGAACTTCGTGGAACATAAAAAAATTCACAATACAGCTACACAAAAAGAGACAAAAAAACAGAGAGGATATCCATAACATTGACACTCCGATCTTAATGAACCAAGGAAATTTGCAATGGCAAAAAAAAGTTCTCATTTGCAAAGCATCTATAAAACAGGTTTTCCATCCTTTTAAATATGACACGGCAGAGCAACAATGAATCATAATGCATTAACTACAATATAAATTTTATCAGGCTCTCATCAGATTTCTTTTGGACCAACGAATTTGAAGAACAGTTCGACAAATATTTCTAATTCCCAAGGCATTCAATAACATTCATTAACTTGACAAAGCAATCGTGTGGCATAAACCTGTCACAATAGATGGGCAGCAAAACAATAGAAGCGCTCAATGAGATCGAAAAGTATCACCTCTTCTATAGTCAAAATCAAACAGAGTTGATTCATCTAAAATGAAGCTTAAAAAGTTCAAACATAAAAGCTAACTCCTAGATTGAATCTTACCAGGTTTGGAATAAAAACCAACTATTATCGAAAATTGACTTCTAAATACACTGATAATCTCATATTATAGAAATATCCATAAACAGGTACCGAACAGAATGGGAATCCTGTGAAAGCATATATACTTTGTAAAGAGTTAGAAATACCTGTGAGCCTCAAAAAGCTTATCATCAGAGCCCTCATTTATATAGTTCATTGCAAGCAGCCGGTTCTGCAAGAAGTTAATTGCTTGAGAAAATTTCATAGAAAGCACCAGAAGAATCAAACAGCATAGGTAATTTCTACTTAGCATTCAGTACATGATTCATGACTTAGATATTGAATGTCTAAACATCCAAGAATCTACCAGAACATCTAGACTGGAAGACGATATATTGTAATGATGTAAAACTCAATACATGTTACGGCAGGAAAATTTCAGTAGAATTACAACCAACAGCAACCTCAACTAATGAATAGAATGTTATGGAAAAAATAGGTCACGCTATACAAATAAATTCTGAATGCTTTATTGACACTGATAGATAGTACTATTTTTTTTCCTTAGCTTCCAATATACATAAAGAGTAATGCTTCATAAGATCCACGAATAGCTGATATTTTGTGAATAGTTTATTCATAAGAAGATTTACAGAAACCATGCCCCGAAAAACAGTTGAATGAGAATATTAGTGAATGATTCACCAATATGTCAATGTAATAATACAAAAAATGAGCTAGATTTTTGCAGTAACTAGTAAAAGAAAAAGTAGGTAGAAAGAACATGTGCTGTGTTTCACTACATACTAGCAAAAAACCAAGCTTCCAACATAAATAGTGACGCTTCATAAGATCCATGAATAGTTGATATTTTGTGAATAACTTATCCATAAGAAGATTTACAGAAACCATTCACCGAAAAACGATTGAATTAGAATATTAGCGAATGGTTCACCAATTCGTCAATGTAATAATACAAAAAATGAGTTAGATTTGTAATAACTAACTAGCAAAAAACAAGCATATACATAATAACCTCTAATACTGCAAAAACAGAGTGCATGAATTGTGAATTCCTCCAATAAGGTTATAATTATCGATAGAAATGAATAACTACATGTAGGCGTCAAAAAATGCTTACAGACATTCAAACACCACTCAAGACGACATAGAAGAACAATATACACGTCATCGAGCAATGCATGGCGGCGCGGCAGACCAAGGTGTCGCGGCTAAGGCGCGACAGCACATAGTGCTGCGGCTAAATGCGCGGCAGCCTATGGTGTCGCGGCTTAACCGCTGCAACCTAGAGTGCCGCGGCTATGTTAAAGGAGTGTTGTGGCGGTTATAATGCAGTTATCTGATGATTATTTGAAGTCCACGTGGCGACGTATCAGAGATAGAACGTGTGTTGACGTGGACAGACAGTTAAACCACGAATGACAGGGGCTGAGCATTTCCAGAGCAAATTAGAGCAGAGGGCCTGGAGTTTTGGTGAATTAGAGCAAAAGAGAGAGTCTTCCTTCTTCACAAACATCTTCAAGAAGCTTTTGGCGATTCCTAGAGATCTAAGCTCTGACTTGATCTTTAGAAGAGTGAACATCTTACATCGATAAGATATTCGCTTCAAATTCTTACTTCGATAAACGAAGGAAGAATCATTAAACCCCTCACGGTTCAATCAGAATCTGTGATTTGGTGGTCCACGAGTCAAAGCGCTCCCGGCACAGGCAAAGTCTCACGCAAGCAGCGATCCAAACAACGATCCTGCGTTTGTTTCTAAAAAGTTGTAATTTTTCTTTTGTTGTGTAAAAGAAGTCTTATAAAAAGGCTATTTCTTTTGAATTTGTTGTAATCGACCGAAGATATAATGAATTCCATGACAAAACCAACTTTTGACGTAAACAAACTGGCGACCACAGTGGGAGACAACGGTCTCGCTGCCGAGACCGTCGTGTCGCAACCGATCAAGATTCCAGTTGAATCCATGGTCGAATACGAATTCGACCAAATCAAGTTTGAGGAATATCTCTCATCCTCTTCAAGATCTTAATTATCTCGCAAGTATAAGAGGATCTCACCATTGAAGAAGACCTCCATGCCAAAGAAGGCACAGAATGAAGACTCTCGCAACACCTTTGCTCATAATGACTCTTATCTAGTTAAAGAGTCATCGAATCAAAGCCCACCGGCACTGACGAAGAGGGCTCGTCAGAGACAACGTCAGCGCCGCGCTCGTCAAATAGCTAACGCCTTGGAACAAACCGACGGGGTTCGTTATCAGACTTAGAGTCGAGGAAACAACAAGTGGTTTGTTCAACGCAACGACAAACTACTCACGTTTCTGCACAATTCACGACGGAGGAATGGACACTCGTCAAAAGGGCTCGCTCAACCCTCAAAGAACGTATACAAAAACGTCGTGCAAACGCTGTTCATGCCCGTGCTCTTTTACAACAAAGACAAGAAGGGAAGAAGGAAACAGTGTTTAAGGAAGCACCAAAGAATCACAGAGTATGGATCTACAAATCCAAACTCGTACTAAAATCGGGTCTGCATAATCCAACCTGTGACCGCGGCAGTCTTCACTGTCGCGGCAAATCCTTCAACCGCGGCAGTTTCCACTGCCGCGGCACGTCTTGCGACCGCGACGATCTTCCCTGCCGCGGTCAAAGAAAAGCTCCAAAGAGTTTTCCTTCAGCCCCATCAACGTCCATTCCTGATCCGTCTACTACAATCATAAATGTTCCATCACCAGGGAAACCACGGTTCAGTCCCGACCTGTCAATATCCAAGATCACGATGTCGGATCGCCTCAATCCCTCATCTGACGATCAAGACAAAGTTCCAGTTAAAGAACGCTTAGGTCCAGTGAACGAATCCCAGGAGCCCGTTAAGACACCACATCCGCAAAGGGGTGGTTTTAAACGTGTGACTCCTGACATAACCTTGGATCATTCGAAGGCGATAAAAAGTTGTCCTGAGAACGCCAACAAGGCTTTACGCCCCCAGAAGAAGACGCATTCACCAAATGATATCGTCATACCTGGGAGGTCATGCCAACAGACGATACGATTTTTTGGCAATCATACCGATGAATCGTATTATCAAGGGTGTGAATAAATTTCGAAAAAGAACTATTCACTCTCATTGTTCCTGTGCACGACTTATAAGATCGGCTGTCCAAGATGATGAATTCCCTGAAGTCACCATCAACGTGGCTGATAAAAGAAAGTCTAAGCGGCATTCAAGTGACTCAAATCCTGATTTTTTCCCGAGAGGAAGAGTCAATCTAAGAATTGCTCAAAGGATGTCTCGACTCCAATTAGGAGCCATCAGACGCAGAAATTACAAGAGAATGCAAGAAGGAATGTCCTCGGAGGATGAATTCTCGGACACTTATTCTGCAATCGCTTCTGATGATACAATGTCTAGCACGGGACAAACCAGAGAAGTACTCACGATCACCTCTGATCAATTTGCTCAAATACTTCAAGAAGCTCTAGCCAAACAACGTGAAGAAATTAGAGCTGAAGTGAAGACAGAAATGGAGTTAGCTATCCAACAAATGAGAGAATTGCTAGCTCAGCAGCCTCAACTCCCTGAGTCCAGTCAAAGAACTGAATCCAGCTGCCACACTCAGAAAGTTGTGGATGACAGTGATCCAAAAGTGGATGAAGTTATTATGACTGATACACCTCCCAATAGCAATAACGCTGGGGGTAGTTTAACACATTCTCCCAATAACGATATTGAGAGTGGTTCAATGACACCTCTTACAGGGGGTGGTCTAACTCATTCTCCTCAACGTCATTCGAATGAAGACATAGACGATGACGGGAAAATGAAAGAGCTTGAAAACAAAGTCAACGCTTTGATGACGGCTCAAGAAGTGAAGAGGACGGGTATTCCATGTCCCTATCCAAGAGAATGGGATTCAATACCGTATCCGACAAAGTTCAATCTGATTAACTTCACACCGTTTGAGGGGAAGAGTTCGCCGATTCAGCACTTGATTTATTTCAAGTCTCATTTGGGCATGATCTCTGGAAACGAGGCTTTAATGGTCCGGTCATTCGTTGGCACCCTTCGTGGGCCCGCCTTCGATTGGTACCGACGGCTCAAGCCAGGGAGCATCAATTGCTGGGATGACATAAAAAATTTGTTCCTCAGCAACTTCTTCGATGATGACACCGAAGTGTCAATCGGAACCCTTTTGGATGAAAAGCAAAAAGACGGAGAGTCAGCTGACGATTTTGTCAAGCGCTTCCGTGGCAAAGCAATGAATTGCAGAGATCCTATTACAGAGGAGTTCATCCTGCAAACATGCCACAATAACCTCTCCATCGATGTCCTGGAAGCTCTTCTTCATCCCACCGAGATTTGCTTTGGACTCAAAAACAAGATCCAAGCCCTAATTGACTCCGGCGTCATAACGACAAAAGAAGTCGAGTAAAGACGACCATCCAACTCCAGTGGGTGCACGGGTATAAACTGTTTTCCCACACTCTAAAGAGCATATGAGTATAAACTGCTTCTCGATTATCCAACTGAGTACAATGTTAAACCCGATTTCGCAAAGGAAACTGGGGGTGGATGATTTATATAACGGGAAGTTCCTGGAGAATCTTATATTCTTAAGGATAACCCGAACATGCGACTGAGGATAACGTACTCCTCGTTACACCCAGTTTTGCAAAGAAAGCTGGGGTGGATAATTCATGTAACGGGAAGTTCCCGGAAGAATGTTAAATGTAATATTCTTAGGGATAACCCCGATCATTATGAACAAAGTGATAAACACTAAACTCCTACTATGACTTCTGAATACTCTTTTGAGATGAGATTCGATCACCTCTTTAGATCAATCTTCCCTCACAAAATTCTCATCTTGGTCAAACCTTTAAACAGTTAGGACCAAAACCAAAATACCCTCTCGATTCGTTCCATGAACGAGAGGTCCACAAATTGAACGATCAAACCTTTAAACAGTTAGGATCGTCTCAAGTCCCTATTTGGTCAAACATTTAAACAGTTAGGACCAAAGCTAAAATCCCCTCTCGATTCCTTCCATGAACGAGAGGTCCACAAATTGAACGATCAAACCTTTAAACAGTTAGGATCGTCTCAAATTCCCATCTTGGTCAAACCTTTAAACAGTTAGGACCAAAGCCAAAATCCCCTCTCGATTCGTTCCATGAACGAGAGGTCCACAAATTGAACGATCAAACC